TTTTATCTGCTATGTCACTTAGTCCACTCAATTACCCTGTAGTAGTTCCAGTTTGTAGGTAAAGAACAGAAAGCGAGGCACAGAGAAGTCAGTCATTCTCCCCTGCTTATCTGGCCGGGGAAACTGAGCCAGGGTGTCCCTCCAGTGGGAGCCACGCTGCCCGGGGCAGTGACTTGTGCAGTGAAGCCACCCGGGGGACCCAGCGGCTGGTTTCTGAGAGCCCGTCAGGGTGAGACTGAGGTCCCAAGTCAGGCCCGGGTACGGCCGTGGGGGCCGCCGTTGCAGGAGCACAGTTTAAGGGTGAAGAGGGTAGTTGGTGCTGGATTATCCAGCTAGAAGACCGGTGTCATTACTTACAGCTGGGTCCCATTTTCACTTTGTAAAAAAAAAATCATACAAAAGGTTTTTCAATGTGACAAGGATTTGCAGGTTGTAGCATGATAAGTAGAGTGAGCTATAATCCTTTTCCATCAGCTTACCCCATCCAAGTCCTTTGAAACTCAGAGCAAAAGGAAAAGGTCCATTGATTAAGAGGAACTCAGCTGAGTGGCGGCTTTCACCTGTGCAGATGGCAGGGCGCATCCAGGGCGCGTGGTCATTGTGTCCCCGGCGCCTGGCCTGGCCGCTGTTCTCATAGGCATTGACCAAAAGGCTTACTACAGTGGGTCTCCTCCTTCTGGATGGCCTTCCTCCGCTGGGTTCCCTTTGACCAGTGCTTACCTGTCAGTCTGCCGAGAACGATGCCTAGCTGGTGCCTGGTCTCCCGCACTAGAGGGGGCCTCGCTGCCCAGGACTCTGCCCGCCCTGGGCCTGGCCCGGATGGAAGGTCACAGAGAGAACCAGGAGCTGAAAGGATGGTGAAGTGTTGGGCCTTGTTTCTTTTTAAACTTCTTTTTCTGCTCATCACAATTTCCTAATATTTGAGAAACCCTGGGAAACATAAGGGTGGAAGTTAGGACAGCTTTAAAAACAGGTAAAAACTGGTCAGAGGCCTTTTTGCCAGAACAGGTAGTTCTCGGAAAGGCAGTCTGCCGGCTGCAGTTAACCCTGCCGCCCACCGCCCTCTCCCGGCCCCTCCGCAGTACCACAGCAGCCTGGCGTCCCTGAACGGGCTGGAGGTCCACCTGAAGGAGACGCTGCCCATCGCCGAGGCCGCCGCCTCATCCAGAGCCTACAACTTTGCGCACTACGACGGCGTCCAGAACCTGCTGACGGGTAAGGGGCGCCAGCTGTGTGCAGAGGCGCCGGGTGGGTGGGCCGGCGGGTGCTGGTGCGCTGCCCAGAGCTGACAGGCAGTAGGGTGCTTTCTCGCTTGGGACCCAGCTCCCGCTGAGTTTAGAATCGCTTGGCAAACGCTTCCTTGCTCATTTGTCTTTTTTTTTTTTTTTTGGTTGTTTCTCCAACATGTTGAGAGAAGCATACACATGTTCAATGATCTGTGATAAGGGCTGCCTCAAAAATTCTGATATCAAGGTGCCAACCCCGCTTCTGCTCATTATCAGGATTGATGTGTCCTGCGGTGCAGTGGCAGCCATCGGACTGGCACCGCACCCTGGCCTTTTTCAGTCCTCTTTGGGCAGCGTACTGGTGGCTATGAGCCAGGCTCTGTCTTTGTTTACAGTACATGGGTGGGGAGGTGGGCACGAGGAGTTGACTGTTCACACGGCTGTGTCTCTTCTGGAAGCAAACCTGCCGCGTGTGACCACACCCCAGGATCGCCGCTTCCTGCAGGCCGTCAGCTTGATGCACGCTGACTTCGCCCGGCTCCCTGCGCTGTACGAGGTGACGGTCAGGTGAGCTTTCCTCCCCCAGGCCTGCATCAGGAGCCTCTTCTAGGGCCTGGGCACAGCCCTAGTGGTGACAGGATGGCAAACATTCCAGCACCCTCTGGAGGATCACCTTTTATCTTCTGTTGCTGCTGTCTGCACTTAGCTTTCCCGTGTCTAGTATTTCCTGGATCCCTTCCTGGGGCTCAAACCTGCTCTGTACTCACTGGGGGTGCAGCACGGATGAAATCTAAGGTCCTCGCTGCCTTGGAGTCTCCACTGTTCTGTGGGAGGGGTCAGTGTCCTTGCCGAACAGCGCAGGTAGGCGTGCTGCGGTCCACTGGCGCCTCAGCAGTCTGTGCTCACTGTAAGCACCGCCAGCCTTCTCTGGAGAGTTCAGCGTCTTCCTTGCTTCACCCTCACGCCCCAGGGACCTATACTTAGTAGTCTGGTGTCTGTTACTCCTGGTGTTTTGGTTGGTTTCGGATATTTTTGGGGCACAGAAAATGTAGATCATTAGTATTTTCAGTTTTATGCTCTCTAGACCATAGGATCATACTCATTTACAAGCTCCTTTTTCACTATCGCGTATCTTGGATCCCTCCAAGCCAGCACATACAGGCTTGTTAACTCTTGACTGTAATTTACACTATACAACAATGATTGCTTTTTCTCTCCACACGCTCTCTGATGGACCCAACAGCAGAAAACAAGGCAAGTTCGGGCACAGAGGGCACATCTAGTTGTGTACTTTGTTCCGTTAGCCCTTCGCACAACTTGGTCAAGTGTCCTTGTTTTAGAGATGAGGAAATTGAAGCACAAGGAGGACAGTTGATTTGTCCCAAGGCCACTTACTTATTAAGTAGCAGAACCAGGATTTGAATCTAGTTTTCACTGACTCTTAAGGTGTATGTTCTGGCCACACACATTTTCAGTTTCAGGGGCCAGTATGGTCAAGAGGGAGGTCTTCTGATGCCTGCCACTGTCACACCAAGTGCTGGACATTTCTGCTACCAGCACCACAATAAATGTATCTTTTCTGGCTTTAAGTCAGAGCTGCCCCAGGCTGGCAGCCTAGATGGGCAGTCACTGGTGTACGGCGGGTGTGGCAGGTGGGAACCGTGAAAGGACAGCACCTCATGATACTGCTCTTGGAGCCGAGGGGGTTACTGTTGGGATACAGAGCGTAAGGCACTTGTTGAGAGATTGTTTTAATAATAATAATGGAAACAATACTCATTGCTTAACCATGGGCCATGCAGTTGATCTATAGTACTACTCACTCAGTCTCTAGAAAACCTCAGACGATGTGCTGTTGTCATAATCTACTTTAGAGATGTGAAAGCTGGGACTCAGAGAGGTTGAGTAACTTAGGGGGACACAGCAGAGCCCAAATGAACTCCCAGATCTGTGTTGCTCCAGATCTCTGCCGTGACCACCAGGCAGAGGTGCTGCCCCAAGGCTGCGCGGGCTTCTCCCTACTCATCCTCTGTCCATTGTGAGACAGAACACGTAGGCCAGGTAGGCGCTTCCGCCCCTTGAGGTCTCAGGAGAAGCTGCAGGAGGTGAGAGGCACCTCCCTCTTTATATGGAAGGGAGCTCTAGGAGAGGCACCCCTGACATCATGCTTTTATAGGAGGCCTGGGGAAGCAGCCCCAGCGGGAGGTAGCTGAGACAGAGTGGAGAACCTGACCCGAGTGTTGATTCTGGCTAAGTGGGCCCTCCTCCACCAGGGACTCTTGTCCCTCTCTCTGCTCGAGTCACTCTGTTTCATGCTCCGCTCTTCTTTCTGCTCTTTGCCCTCATGCCTCACCTAGTCACCCTGTAGACAGGCATAAACCCTTCGCTGGGCCTGCCAGCGCTTGCCCTTGAGGCCCAGCATCAGGCATCCTCACCGCCGCGGGGTCTTCTTCTGTCCCCACTGGTAGGGATGTGCAAGGAATGAGCTAGGCCATGTGGAAACAGTTTGCACAGCTGCTAGTGTGTCAGCAAAGCGCTGCCATTTCATTCAGTCACCCCAAATTCAGACTGGCTGTGGCCACAGCGGACTGTCCTGCTTCCGATAGTCTGCCATTGGGCGAGTTCAGAGGAGGGAAGGGGTTCCTGGCGTCAGCGCCAGTATCTCAAGTGCGTAAGGCAAGACCTGTGCCATGATGCCTGCCCTGCCACGCTGCTGAGCCGGCCCTGCGAGCTCACCAGAGTCCTGTCTGCACCTGGGCGGCACCAGTCTCTTGTCTTTCTTCCTCCGACAGAAACACCTCCACAGCTGTGTACGCCTGCTGCAGCCCTGTCCAGGAAACCTATTTCCAGCAGCTGGTGACAGCAGCCCGGAGCTCAGGCTTCCCAAGTGCGCAGGATAGCGCCTTCAACCTGCCGGGCAAAGCCAAGCAGAAGCTGCTGAAGCACGGTGTGAACCTGCTTTGAACTGAGCTGCTCAGGGAGGGTGCGCCCAGGAGAGCGAGCTGATGGATCGCAGAGCCAGGGGGCTCTGTCGTCTACGTGGAAAAAGCCCTCTCTTCTGTTTTTGGTGGGTTATCCCCATTTGTTAAGGAATGTGTGGCATTTGTGTGTTACTCCTCTGCAGATTGGGGTGTGAGGGGTGGTTTCTTCAGGTTGCCGACCTAGAGGTAGAGATGAAGGACTTTCCTATGCTGGCAGTATCGGGGTGCCTGGACCACTCATGCCAGAGGGACCAGGCCCCCGGTTTCTGTCACACTGGGCCTTTCATCCACCATGTCTGCACTTCTTCATTCCAGCCTTAACTAGGCGCACACAAGCTCATATTGGCTTTTCCCGGAAACTGGTTGTCCCTAGTCTAGAGTGCTTGTCCAGCCCTGTCCCCAGGGGGATTGAGGGGTGCTGACCAGGTGGGTTTGTGAGCAGGCAGACCGGATCCCCCGCCTCTCGGGCCATCAGAGTGGTCGTCCTGGGAGGTCTCACACTGCATGCAGGGAGGCAGGCGGGGCTGCCCACGCCACCTGTGCGGATCTCCTAGAACTGTGTTCAGAATGAGGCTCCAGTTCTTTGGTTACCCCAGTGGGGGCAAATCGTGATAACACAGTGAGTGTGGGGTCCGGAGACAACCGGAAGTTCTGGGCCCTCGATCAGGGGTTGGGTGATGGCAAATTTGACTGAGCCCCTTGGTTCCTCTTGGGTTCCTGTCCCAGAATGGGCGTTTCAAAAACTGGGGCAGAGGCAGAGCGGTGCCCTTCAGGGAGGCTGCTGAAAGGGAGGAATACGTGCTCATGCTTCTGAGAGAGTTAGTACTTAAACATCGGTCTGTTGCATTGTAACCGAGACTCGTTATGGCAATGGCATGCAACTCCCAGGAAGAAAATATTTCCAGAATCCTAGCTGATGTTTTACTGAAAGCTGAGGTTCCATTTGAAAATGATGATGTTAATAACGTCATGTCAGTGAACAGACACCTGAGGTTTACGACATTGTGCCTTTGTCTTGAAAACATGTTTTCAAGGACTAAAAATAAAATAGCCAAAACTGCTGTTGCGTTCTGAGTAATCGGATGGCGACATCTCTTGCGCAGAGTTGAGGCAAGGGTTAAATGATGCCTGTGGAGTTTTTGTGGACGTCTTTCTCTTTTCCTTGCCTGAGTTGGCTGGCCAGGCCAGGCGGGGTGGGCCTGGCCTGAGGGTGACCGGCCTGTGTCTCTTCTCTCACTCACCCCAGGGTCCTTTCTGCCACTGGCCAACCTCCCACGAGGGTGATGGTCCCAGTGGCGGAGGATCACGCCCCACACTAGGCTGTCTGTTATCCTGCTTCTCTCAGAAGCAATTCAGTGCAAGTGTGTGCCGACCTCAGGAGCCCTCCGTGACTGACACCTAACAGCTTTCTCTGTTGGGTATTTTTAAACAGCCAGCATTTCCCTTTTGCTCACTGGTACTGCAGATTTGCCAGGTGCCCAGTCCCAACCTTGGTGAAATTACAGCCTGTGATACTTTGAAACACAGAATTAGGAGCCCAGAGCCTAATTCTGCACCTGGCTAACCGTCGCCTCCGTGGTTCCTCTACATGGCCCATCTCACAGGAGGCGCTGGGCTCTTGCCTAGAGGCCCAGAGTGGGCACATCTGGTGGTCCTGTTTGCTCTGGAAGCCTGCGATCCTGTGTTCCGTAGGCGGCCACTGGCCCGAAATGCATGTGGGAGGGCTTTTGTTTCTGGACATTGGCCCCCTCTGCCACCAGTGCTGCCCTTTGGGCCTTGGCCCCAGGTTGGGGCTGTGCTCTTCGAGGAGCACGCATAGGGGCACTTCTAGAACATGTCCACACATTCATTGCCACGAGTGGGGAGCCTGGGTCCCCCTCTCCAGTGTGGGCTGTACTTATCTCTACTGAGCAGAATACGGTAGAAATGGCAGCGTGGCTCTTGTGAGGGGTCATAAACACCACTGCTTCCTTCTTGCTCAGAAGCAGCCTGGCCTCAGGCCGAGGGTCTGGAGGGCCGACAGCTGGGTCAGGGAGCCTCTGGAACCAGGTCCTCCTCAAGCCTTCTAGTGACTGCAGCCTTCGGGGAACACCCAGCACCACCAATCCACTTCTGAATGCCTGGCCCTCACACAGTGGGTGGCGTGATCGTTGCGTTGTTTTAAGCCTCTCTGGCGGTAATTTGTTGTAGATAATTCACTGGCGTGCATGCCTGTCTCCACCAAATTAGATTCCGTAAAGCACAGGGGGCCCTAGCCAGAAATGCTATAAGAAGTATTCTTGGGTCCAGCTACCTTTCCTGCCTCACAGACCTGGCCTGGATCAGAAGAGAAGAAATTGTGAACATGCGCACAACCCCCACCCCACCCCACCCCCACACACTGCCCTTCCTTCAGGTCCCAGAGTCTGACATGAGAAGTCCCCACTTTCTCTCCTCTGGACCTCATCCTGGCCCCTTGTCATCCTCCAAGGTCTCAGGTACCCATGCAGGGCACCCTCACTGGAGAGTAGAATCCCATCCAAATGCCCAAGGCCCATCTTCCTGGCCAGCTTCTCAGGGGGTGCGTGGTGGAAGCCCATGGACATCCACAGGGCTGTCCCTGCAGCTTGAGGAAGCTCATCAGGTGGCGCTAGGGCAAATTGGGGATCCTGGAAGATGATTCCACGGTCAAGTCCTCAAATGCATCTTGGAGCTGGAGGGGGTAGCTGGCAGGAAGTGCAGGGCAGGGGCTGGCCCCCTTAGATTTTCCTTGGCAGCAGTCGGCATGGAGGGTGGCCTCCCTGCTGTGCTAGCCCTGCCCCCCCCACTAGGTGCAGACCCCGCCAGCCCGCCCCTCTCCCAGAGGCAGCCCCAGCACAGGGCCCTTCGACTACTCTTCCAGACCAGGAGCCCATCAGAGGAAAGGCGGTGGCTTGAAAACGTGCTCTGAACTTTCTCTCCACCAAGATAGACCTGCAGTCCCCTTGTGTGCACAAAAGAGCCAGTGAGTCGCCTCCACCCAGGATTACTTCAGAAAATTGCAAGTCTTGAAACAGAGAGGGCGACCGCTTCCTGCTTGTTTCCCTAGTGTACTTGGCTCCATGTCCTGAGCAGAGCCGTGACCAAGACTGTGGCCCAGAGCTGCTGGGGAGGGGACTTGAAGCCCTCTCCTGTTTCCCAGATTCGTGAGGCTCCCAGGACATGGTTGGCTGTCAGCCCTAGGCCCGTGCACTCAAAATTACTCTCTAAGCACCAGCGCGGGGCCAGCAGTGGCCAGACAGCCCTCTCCTGCTGGGGTGAGCTCCACACCCTCCCGGCAGTGCACCCAGGGAAGGTGGCCTTGCAGGTTTGCATCCTGGAGACAGCCCACATGAGCAGGGAGGGTGGGAGGAGAAGTGAAAGGGTGAGCATGAAAGAGAAAGTGGCCAACAGTGATTCTGGCTGGGGCAGGATCTCTGTTCCCTGGGTACATGGAGGCCAATTCTGCCTCCCCAGGGTGAGAAACGCCTGGGTTCCTCTGCCTCCCTCATGGTGGAGGCTGTGTGTCGGTTGAAGTCACCTTCCCAGTCCCGGGTGGTCCTCTGCTCAGCTGGGATGCGCCTCACAGCTCCCATTCACTGTGCTCCCACTACATCCTTCGGTGAGGTGCAGCCCTCTACTGGGTGGGCGCCTTCACCCCAGGCCACGGGACCTGCAGAGTAGGCTGGACGGTGACTTCCAAAGGTGACAGGGCCCTGGAATCCATGCTGTCTCACAAAGGTGTTGTAGGTGTAACCGAGTTACGATCTTGAGTTTACCCCAGATTACCCAGTAGGGATGAGCAGGCCCTAAACGCCATCACAGGCGTGCTTAGGAGAGAGGCCTGTGCAGGTGATGTGCGACTGCAGAGACGCGGCTGCAAGCACAGGTACATGCGGCCACCAGTGCCAGGAGAGCAGGCGCCGGCTCTGCCCGGAGCCCCCAGCGGGAGTGTGACTGTTGACTTGTTGCTTTAGGTCCAGGGAAGCTGACTTTGGGTTTCTGGGCTCTCAAACTAAAGAGGCAGGCTCTGCTGTCTTACGTCATCTGGTTTGCAGTAGTTTGTTCCAGCGGCTCGTGACAGTAACACCAGCAGCAGTAACGCCCAGCCGGCACCTTGATGCGTCCCGGCGAGGCCAAGCCCCAGCCTTTCTATGTGTCAACAGTGCACAGAGCAGGGACAGGCAGTGAGGACAAACCCCCACGAAGGGCTGGGGTTTGTCCTGGATCCAAGGGGAACCCGTAGGCTGTGTGGTGTGCAAACACACGCGTGCACAAGTGATCACTTGGCCTCCACCTGGTCTTGTTGGAAAGGTTGCTGGGCCCTGTGAGGCCCCGCGGCAGGGGAGGGTGCTGAAAAGGCCCTGCGTGTGTGCGTGCATGCGTGCATGCATACTGACGAGCACAGGAACACGTGTGTGGGCTTGCGTGTCAGAGACCTGGGTTTCCTGCTCATTGTGCGGCTCGTGCTGTGGAAACTGGGCCAGGTGACCTTGTAGCGCCGAAACTCAGTGTCATTTGTTTTAAATGGAGAGGAAAAGGTGTGTGGGGGCATCATCCCGCAGACCCCAGAAGTGGAGACTGCCCCTGGAGATCCTGTGCTGGGAGTCCCTCCGCGCCCGGCACACGGTGAGGCCTGAACGCACGGCTGGAGTCCAAAATGCGTAGCTGCGAGCTTGGACACCGGGCTTTTATCACAGCGTGTCCTCCAGCTGACCACAGGGGACCTTGTTCACGTCAGCAGCCCACTGGGAGGCTGTGTTTTCTCGGGCTAAGTGTGTATAACTATCTCTGTGTACCCCAGCAAGGTCTCGTGGTTCCCGGGGTAATGATGCATGGGAAGGAATGGCCCAGTGGAATGGCCCAGTGCACTCTACCTAGAATCCAGGGTGGCCAGTGCAGGGTTGGCAGTGGGAGGTCCGGGGAAGCTGGGTACTGGGAAGTTAGGACCGTGTGTGCCTGGGAAGGAGGCGCAAAGGGAATCAGTCTCTGTGTGTTGCCTCCTGCTACCTATGCCACAATCTGCCTGAGTAGCGTCACTGCCATCTGTCAGCAGCTCTAAAATACACGGCCTTATTCTGTCCTGTTCTGCGAGTTTACATCTGGTGAGCAAGCTTCAGCTAGGAGGTAAATGTTACGGAGAAACTTCGGCAGCAGAGCATGATGGCTCTGAAGAACAGCACTTTGTACCTAGCCTTTGTTTGTTGTTCTTCCATTATAGAACAAAACATGTGGGCCCTTCCGGTCCACCCAGAGCTTTCATCTGATCTTATCCAAGCCTTCTTTAAGCCCACGAAGGCAGGCATTAGGGGGCATTTTCTAGATGAAGTTTGTCGAGCGCTTTGGGTGGTGAGAAAACACAACCCAAACTTAAGATGAAAAGGGGGTTAATTGGTTCATGTCCAGTAAAAGTCCAGGGCTGGGGGTGTGGGGGGGGGGGTTAGGGGTGTGTGTGCTGATTTCAGGCAAAACTGATAGGACTCCTGCTTTCTGGGGGCGGGGCTGCTTTCCTCTTGGGTTTCAGCCTCAGGTTTCTTTTACCCTAGGTCCTCCTCCCACCTTTCCCAAGAGCCCCCTCCTCCAGCCCTGACTGAATCTGAATGCCCTGGGGCTTGGGAGGCTCTTGTTGGTGAGGGGTGTCTTGCCCTGATGTGTCTCTGGCCACGCCTTAGGAAGGCTGACTGGATGCAGTCGAGCCCCCGGGGAACCAGCAACCTGAGGATGGGGACCTTATGGTCTTGCAAGAGGCTCAGCCTGGTATTAAAAACAGGAGCCAAACCACTGCCCCGACCCCAGTGGCCATCCCCTATGGACCGCAGGTAGGCAGCCTGCCTGGCATCACACGGGCCCAGCCTGGGCTTTAGCCGTAAGCAGCTAAGCTTCAAAGGTCTTGCTGTTCTTGGTCCTCAGCCCCAGCCAGCTGCACAGGCCAGACAACTGGTTAAAACAAATAGGGGGCAGGGACCCCCTCCCTTGATCCAGTGAGCTACCTCAGGGCTGGAGTGTGAGCATCTGAATGCCCCAAAGGCTCTCTGGGTGCAGCCAATGCAGTGGCTTAGGACTCCCCTCCCCACCCCTGCTGTGACACCAGTGACACCTCTGCGACAGGTGTGGTCTCCCATGGGTTCGGGTGGAATATGCACTGGCGTGAGCGATGGAGAGGTGTCGCTGCAACCCCTCCAAAGGTGAGTAGGGGCTATAGTAAACCTGGGAGACAAGACGGACTGTCCTCAAGGCCAGCCCTACCCTGAGCATGGCACAGAACCGCACCAGTCTGTTTCCTGTCGTCCCCTCCAAATGATGGGAAGACATCCGTCATTTCATGGCCATTAGTGTCCTGAGTCCTGGGATCTGGCAACTTTCTTGCAAGATAATTTATACGTTGACAAGTTGTACTTGTGGAAGAATATCTTCCCCAATTGCCTCAGACCGTCATTTATTGCTTTAAGTGATGATACAATTTTCATTATTTTAATGATTGAGTCAAGTGGCCAAATCTGGTAGACTTTTGGGGTGTGTGTATGAAGTTCTGAACCCTCCGTAGTATTTATGAATGGCATGCTTGCAATCTGAATAGCCATGCAACGTGTAAATGGAGGCTAAGGAATCTAAATGATCAAAAACAAAAACCAGTGAAGGGCTCAGGGCCGACCACGCGGGAGCATATGGGACGCCTGGGTGTGATGGGGACTCCTCAGGCTGGACACCGTCCCCCCCAGGGGGCGGAGGCGGCTGTCGCCATAGCACGTAAGTCACTTTAACGACTGCCAAATTGTCAGTGCACCCTGCAGTCCCACCCGCCCGGACAGCCCGGCCTGGAGTGTGGGCTGGAAGCGAGAACACCTGGCAGCCTCTGCTCCCGGCCCAGTCACTCTCCCCCTTCTAAGACACAGGGAAAAGATTCCCCAGTGGAGCTGAGGGAACTGCCTCTCCCTCTTGGGCTGACACAGGCCACAGGGAGGGTCGCCCGCCCCCCTGGTCGCCCTTCCCATGCCTGTCCATCCTCCTTCCCTGCTTCTAACTGCTGAGAACTACAGGGAGGGCGGAGGGGCGTGCCAGGCCACTCCAGAAGCCGAGGTGCCCCAAGGCCCGGCTACTGCTGAGGGCCGCCCGGAGCAGGCTCCTGGTGCCGAGTCCCTGTTCCTGTTTCCCTGAAGTCACGGTCCGTATTCTTTGCCCAGGTTGACGTCTGCTTTTCCTTCCCCGCCCCACCCACATACCTTCCAGTACTATATTTGGATTCTTCCACTTCTAGGGTCCTACCTGTCTCTGCGGCAGGATCGAAAGGCCCAGCCCCTCGCACACGCACGGACGCCTCTCAGGGCTGCCAACCACATAACACCTCCTCTCCCACAGACACCTGACCACTTGGCTCTGGGCTTCAGCAAGGTCCTTTATTTATCTCCGGCCCCCAGCCACGTCACGTGAGGACAGGCAGCCGAGGGAGCTGTGTGGGCTGTTGGCTTTGTAAACGTAGAGCAGTCAATATGTATAGAAATCATGCACCTCACTGTTCCTAACAAGGTACTTAATGAGTAAAAAGATTTCAGTGTGTTTGAAATTGCTGCCCTTTCCTGCAGTCTAGTCACTGAAAAATATGTGTAGAAACGTTACTCAAATGTAGACACGTTCTCAGTGACACTCGCGTGTAACTCGGCACAGTTACACCGGCTTGACGTAGGCCTGGCGGGCCCCTCACAGAAGCTGCAGGTTCCCACCAGGGAAAGGGGTCAACACGGGACCTGCCCACGTGGCGGGCGGCAGGCGCCCCCACATGGCTCAGAATCTGGTGCTGCCTGTACCACGTTATTCACAAAGTGTCTCTACTAAGGCTACAGACTACTCTCACGACTCAGCTAACAGGAGGGTGTTTCTAGCATTAGTGCCTCACACTGGCCGTGGCCGGCCCAGGAGAGCCGGAAGTCAGCAGGTCTTCCTGCTGCCTCGCCCACACGCCCGGCTCGGGCAGCCACACTGGGCACAGGCCACACAGTGACAGGGCTGACAGACACAGGCCACACAGTGACAGGGCTGACAGACACTTCACTCTCCCCGAGTCCAGCGTTGAACACTGACGTACAGACAAATGGAAAACCATCGGCAACAGAACTCCAAAGCGCGAGAGACACTCGGTCAGGTCTGCAATTCCAGTCTTGCCAGAGGGCCTTCCCAAGCGTGCTGGGGGAGGGCGGGCTTCTCCGGCCGCAGCGCCTGCCACCGACCTGGTGGTCTGAGGCCTTCATCACCAAACAGCTGAAATGGCACTTTCCACCCGGCTTGGCAGTAGGCTTCTGTAGGCAGTGAGGTCAGCGAACCACGTGCTCTGCGGCTGATCCCAGGGAGCCTCGGCCCAGCCCTCAGAGACTGAGCCCCGGCTTCGCAGGAAAGCGGTGTTGACAAAACACCTCCACTCCCACCGCCTGTGCTGCCGTCAGGCGTGTCGGGTGGGGTGGCCAGTGTCCCCGTGGCAGTGCCCTGACCGCACGCAGCCCGACAGCAGAGCAGGCTGATGCGGGACTGCAGACGCCCTCACCCCGAGGAGCGTGACCGTGGCGGCCACGTTCTCCAGCGCTTTGCTCTGCAGTTTGCGCGTTCTGTTCTTTTTTCACTTAAGGTCACCACAAGAAGTTTTATGTTGTTCCATTCAAGTAACCCTTGGTTCTATTTCGGAGCACTGAGCGACACGACACAGATGGGGCACGGAGCCTCTGGTCTCGGAGCGACGTGATGCGCCACGTGGCGGGAACAAATGACTGACTAAAAGGAAAAAAACCTAAGGAAATACAAGCTGAACGTTTTGCATTTACAATAACCAAAGGATAAAGGGACCTGACATGATACAAAAGTTCCCACGAAGAGCTTTCCGTCGCGGCAGGTTGCTGGGCGTGGAGCTGGAACGCAGCCCGGGCTGGGCGGCCGCGGTCTGCCCGCTGGCCCTCATCGCTCTCACCCACTCCAGCTCGGTAGTGCCCTCATCGTCCTGGGGCAAAGATGAAATCCAGGGCCTGTCGTTCAGCTGCTGCCACGTTTGGATGCCACAAATCCACCATGAAGACCACCCGTGGCCCATCCTCCACTGAGCCTGTGGGGGGATGAGAGCAGACAGGTTCACACTCCCCCCGGGGGCCAGGACCCAGGAACCCATGTGGCCAACTTTCAGGTTGGGCCCCAACTCACCCCTTGACCCAGGTCAGAGGGGCTCGGTGTCTCCAATCAACCATGCTACCCTGGCTTTGCAAAGTTCTGAGCAGGTTGGGGGCAAGGGCGGTGGGGTAGGGGTACACAGAGGACTTTAGAGAAACTACCTGGGGTGGTCCTGGGATGGTGGGTGCCTGACACTGGCCAAGTGCCCCCTTACTGGCCTCTGGCCTTGGACCAGTGCAACTCGCCGTGCAGTGGTGTCTAGAAAGCAGAGCCTTGGGTAAAGCTGGCTGGGAATTTCCATGATTTAAACCAGTGTCATAGGAGATGAACAGACTGACACTACTCAAGGACCTGCTGTGCCATCTGTCAAAACCCACAGAAGATACTCCAAGAGATTACCCTAATGTAAGCCGTGGATTTCAGTTAGTGGCGCTGACTAATTAACTAAGTAGTTAGCAGTGATAACTAAAGCCAGCGTTAGTACTGGCTTATCAGCGATAACAAGTGACACCATTGCAAGATGTCAATGAAAGGGGAAATGGTGTGAGGGGGCGGTGTGGCTCTCGGTGCAGTTTGTCTAAATGCTTTAAAAAATAAGCTCTACCAGTTACACAGGGAAAAGAAGGCCTTGGGGAAGCAGACACTCACCCTCATGGAATGCAGTGTGCAGGAAAGAATCATCAAAGAGTAGGCAGCGTCCTTCCGCCCAACACTGGGGCTCCCCTCCCACCACCAGCTCACAGCCACTCGGAGTTTTCAGACCTTCAGTGGGGAAAAGCAGAGAACAGAGAATGAAGGCAGGCAGGTGGGAGTTGGCGGGGTGCCAGGGCAGCCTGGGAGGGAGCTCGCAACAGACCTTTTCCCCTGGAGCCTCAGGTGGGGCTGGGAGTCCCACTGGCAAATACCAGCTGCGCACGCTCCTCACTGCTCCTTGGAGGAATGGCTCACTGGGCTCTGGGCCATGGGCGCCCCTGGTTAGTCATTACACGTTGAGACTCGTGCAACCCAACCACAGGACCCCCGGAAAGGGTCAGAGCCCTTTCCTGCCCACTGACTGTGCTAACTACAGCATCATCTCTAGGGCTGTTTTAGTTGAGATTAAACACACAAAGGTGCACACAGTTCCCCCCCCGCCGCCCCTAACCTTGAGCTCCAACCTTTCAATCCACTTTGAGGCCTGCAGATGGTGTGTGCTTAGCTGGCCTCACTCGGGGAAACCGCAGGACACCCCTAGAACAACTTGGGCCTCAAGAGAGAGAGACACCAGTAGGGAGCCTCAGGCCCAAAGGCCAGCAGTGCATGCCCAGCCCTCAGGTGCCATCTCCAGCCCAGGCCCCAGAGAGGGCTTGGCGGCACTCCCCGGATGCTGCCAGCACCACACGCCACCTAATGGCTTCAGAGAGGTGTGTCAGTCTGACCACTCGCCAGGGCTGACCCAGGAGGAGGCAGCGCTCGGGAAGAGCGGCTGGCCATGGTGTCCTTGTCCACGTTTAGTGACTCATGGTGACAATCATAAACCTGGGATTGAGTTTGCTTCACAAACAGAACAGCTTTCTCTCAAACAGCCAGAGTATCTACATGCACCCTTTGAGCCGAAATGGATGGAGGCTGGAAGCACGTCTGGGGGCAGAATTCAAAAAGGCACTAGGAAGAGTGGGAGGGACAGAGGTCCTGGGGTCACATGACTGGCTGTGTGACTCTGGGGATGCACGCAGCCTCTCTGAGCCTCCCCCTCTGCACTGTGCACGTTAGCACACTCACCCTCAGGGCCTGTGACCACTAATTGCTGAAGGCTCAGTGTGCACAGGCGCGTGCTCAACCTGCACCTGCCCAGACTTCGCGTCGCCCCTTTCCAGATGGGGCATTTAGAGAAGAGGGAGACCTGCTGGAAGTCACGGTCTCGTCCTTGCCTCTTGAAGCCAAACCCAGCCTGGTTCCAAAGAATAGGCTCTTCTCACACGGGGCAGCATGATACAAATGGCAGTCATCACGCTAGCAGCGTGGTGACAGCCGGTTTCCCTGTAGTGCGTTCCAGCTATCAGCAGTATTTTCATGGACTCATCCACCTGACCCTGGAACTTTGGGGAGAGGGGGAAGTGGTAGGGGTTGTAAAGGGGTTCAGCAGGCACCTCTCTGGCCGAGATGGAAGAACCCCAGAGGCCACGTTCTCTTTGCATACAAGCCTCCAGGTGAGGGCGCCGTAGGATAGGGCAGTCTTCTGCAGGGAGAGCTCATGCCAGGGTTTCTCCCTTTCTCTGAGCCACTAGATGATCCACTGCCATATGCTGTGGTGTAACAGAAAGGGTCTGGCTTGCCGCTTGACAGCTCCCACTTGATCCTCCTCCACCTTCCCCTTTACTCTGCTCCAGTCTTCCAGTGACCTACCAGCCCTGCCGATTGTCCAGAAACCCGCTTCACTGGCAGAAACATGCCCCCAAACGGTGCCTGGGTGGCCTTCAGGGTCACGGGCCCTGCACGTGGCAGAGGCCAGGTCCACACTGGGCCTCCTGATGGCTTAGGCATTGCTGCTCTGACTGCACCGACGCTGAGGGAATTGGAGAACGGGCAGAAAGGGCTCTTTAGGAGGCTGGGGGCTGGCTGGTGGGGAAGGCAAGCACCAGCTGGTCCACACTGCTAGAGACCTGACAGCATGTGCATGAAGGGCAAATGGCATCTAGTGAGGCTTTGTGCCAGAGAATTTGCAGAAAACACTCAGGCATCCTCAGTGGTCGGCCCATGGTCGGCCACCTGGGCAGGTGTCTGCCTCCCTGCTAACATCTACCTGCTTAGCTCCCAGACTGCCTTCTGGGGGTTCCTGGCAGTGCGGTCGGGACATCTCAGGCTATCCGCAATGTGGGGTGATGCTGGATGAGGCATGCCTGCAGTTCAGTACAGAGTCGAGAGGACAGGAGAGGCAGCTCAGAGCAGGGCTCAGCCAGTGTGCATCAGAGTCTGAGCCAGTAAGCAGAGAGGCTGGGACTTCATTCCTCCAAAGGGGTAATTCAACCGATCACAACTCAGAGGAGCCAGCCTGTCAAGAACACAGCTCTGGAACTGTGGGTGCCGGCTCTGCCGCCCGCCAGGCGCGCACCAGGCTCACTCTGCTCTGACCTCATTCTCGACTGTCAACACAGCGAGGTCAGGTGAATCTAACACACCTTTGTTTCCTTCCGGGGTGCATGTGGGCTGATAGAGGCAAGGAGCAAACCCTGTGGTGCTTACCACAGGGGCCACCCTGGCCCCTGGAGCCACACTCCAGGGGGCGTCTTCCAAGATTTCCTGGTGTCCAGGGCAAGTTCCAGTTGTCAAGGGACCAGCTGGGCCGA